GGGGTGATTTTACGCTTTCTGTCTCTCTCTGTCTTTCTGGCAAGCACACATGCCCTACAAGAATAAAAACAAAAACAAAACAAAACAAAACACTCTCCAAAAAAAAAGGTGAATAAAATAAAATAAATAATTATTTAAAAAAAGAGAAAACACCCATCTTTGTCTCCCACCTTTCATGCTGCCCCTCTCTCCCATAAAAAAAAATTGGATAGTCGTTTATCACTGATAGTAAGATCTCTTTAGTCTGGATACACAAATATATGATTTGCAAATGTATTCTTTCATTCTGTGTACTGTCTGTACTTTCTCAGTAATAACTTTTTGGTGTACTTTTACTTTTTTTTAAAAAGGTTTTTGTTTTAGGACACGTGAGCTTGCGGGAGAGACAGAGATAGTGAGAGGGGAAGTGAGAAATCACCCCCAGGGAGGATGGCCACTTCACAATCCCTTCTCCTCCATTCTCCTCCTGGGATCTTGGGCACACACAAGCACATGTGCCCAGCATGAATTTGAAGCCACCGGGTCTGGGACTTGAACCATTGACAGCCTTCTGGGAGTCCAGCAATGTAACCACCATGCTATCTGCTGGTCCCTTGATCCACATTTTTAATTTTGATTTTTAAAATTTTAATTTTAATATTTTATTTGGTTGGTTGTGCTTTAAGTGTCACGTCTAAGAAACCATCACCTGCTCCAAGGCCATGAAGATTTATAACTATGCTTTTCTTCTATGAATTTTATGTATTGGCTCTTACATTTAAGCCTATGATCCATGTTGAGGTAAATTTTGTATTAGGTTTGAGATGGGAGTCCGACTTCACTCCTTTGAATGTGGCTATCTAGTTGTCCCAGCACTATGTGTTGAAAACAATTCTTCCTCCATTAAATTGACTTGGCAACCTTACAGGTAATCAGTTGACTGGGGCCAGTAAGTGGCATGGTGGTTAAGGTGCTGGACTCCCACATGACTGACTGTGGATTGAGCCCTGGATCCTGTGGCTTGAAAATCATGCCAAGAGTGTGTGCATTCATACCCAAAATCCCAAGAGGAGAATGGAGAAGGAATTGTGGTGTGGCCATCCCCCTGGGGGGTGATTTCTCACTTTCCCCCTCTGTTTGTCTCCATGTGCAAGTGAATGCACTCTATGGGGAAAAAGATCAATTGACTGTAAATATATGGGCTTATTTCTGAAATATCAGTTTGTTAGTTCATTCATAAACTTATGAAAGGAGAGAGAGCCAGAGAGAGACACCCTTGACAGGGTCTTGATGCTGTCCCTGCAGCTTTGCAGCCAGCTCAGATGACGGACATGGCTGCACCCAACACACCCAGGTAGACCCGTGACTAAACCCTGAGCCTTCCCAATGGCTTCCAGCATCATACAGCAGCGTGGACACTGCCTGTACCAGTGAGACTAGGCCAAGAGATTGACTGTAGACATAGTCTTGTCATTTGATCTTGCCCCAGCCTCCCAGCTAGTTAGGATTATAGGCATGTGCCACCTGCCTGCCTGTTTAAAGTTGACCTAGAACTGAACCTGGGCCTCCTATGTGGTCTCAGCCTGTGAGCAGAGCCTAGATTGTCAATTTTTTTTTTTTCTTTTAGAGAGATTTTTGTTATAGTTTGTGTGCCCTTGCTGGAGAGACAGAGAGAGATAGAAAGTGAGAAATCACCCCCCCCGGGGGGGATGGCCACACAGCAATCCCTTCTCCATTCTCCTCTCAGGATTGTGAGTACACACGCATATGTCGCTGGCATGAATCTGAAGCCACCGGATCTAGGACTCACACCTCAGTCAGTCATGTGGGAGTCCAGCAATATAACCATTACACCATCTGCTGGTCTCTAGATTGTCAATTCTATCTAACTGTCCTTATGCCAGTACTATACTGGATTTTTTTTTTTTTTTAAGAATTAATTTGAGGGATGGGACCAGCAGGTGGCATGGTGGTTAAGGTGCTGGACACTCCCACATGGCCGACCAGGGTTCAAGTCCTGAATCTGGTAGCTTGCTTTCTCACTTCCTCTCTCTCTCATTCTCACCCTCTATCTCTCTCTGCTCAAACTAAAATAAATAAATAAATAAATAAAATAAAATAATTATATAAAAAAAAGAATTAATTTGAGGGACCAGCAGTTAGCGTAATGGCCCCCGGGGGGCGGGGGGTGATTTCTCACTTTCTGTCTCTCTGTCTCTCTCTGTCTGGTGAGCGCACGTGCCCTATAGCAAAAACCTCTCAAAAAAAGAAAAAACAAAGAGTTAATTTGAGGACCAACAGTTGGTGTAATGGCTATGTCGCTGGACTCCTGGACTCCTACGTGGTCGACAGCGGTTTGAGTTCTGGACCCAGTGGCTTAAACTCATGCTGGGTACGTGTGCATGTGTGCCCAAGATCCCAAGAGGAGAATGGAGGAGAAGGGATTATGGTGTGGCCATCCCCTCTGGGGGGTGATTTCTCACTTTCTGTCTCTCTGGTGAGTGCACGCGCCCTATAGCAGAAACCTCTCAAAAAAAAAGAATTAATTTATTTGGGGACAGCAGATGGTGTAGTGGTAATGTAGCTGGACTCCCATGACCGACTGCAGTTCAAGTCCTGGACCCAGTGACTTGAAAATCATGCCAGGTGCATGTGCTTGCATGCCCAAGAATGGAGGAGAAGGGATTGTGGCATGGCCATTCCTCTCACTGTCTCTGTCTCTCCAGTGAGTACACATGTCCTAATACAAAAACCTCTAAAAAAAAGAATTGTTTAGTTTAATTTTATTTATTATTATTTTTTAATTTGACCAGAGAAAGAGAAAGAGAACGTGAGAAAGCAAGCTGCGGTTGGCCATGTGGAAGTCTGGCCCCTTAATCGTCACGCCACCTGCTGGCCCCTACCATGCAGTCTTGATTACTGTAGCTTCATGGTAAAGAGATTTTTTTTTAAGAATTATTTTAACTTTATTTATTATTATTGTCATTATTATTTTCCAGTTTGATCAGAGAGAGAGAGAGAGAGAGAGAAAGTGAGAAAGCAAGCCACCAGGTCCGAGACTTGAACCGTGGTCGGCCATGCGGGAGTCCAGCGCCTTTAACCACCATGCCACTTGCCGGCCCCTCATAGTAAGTTTTGAATCAGAAAACATATGTTTTGTTTTGTTTTGTTTACTATAGGGTGAGTGTGCACGCCAGAGAAAGACAGAGAGAGAGAGAGAGAAATCACTCCACGGGGAGGATGGCCACACTGCAATCCCTTCTCCGTTCTCCACTTGGGATTTTGGGCACATGTGGACTGGGCCTGGCATAATTTTCAAGCCATTGGGTCTGAAACTCAAACCACAGTAGGCCTTTGGGATCCAACTACCCTTAACTCCATGCCACTTGCTGGCCCTGGAAAAATATGTATTCTTTTTTAAGAATGTTTTTTGTCTGTCTCTCTCTGTCTTTCCGGCGAGTGCACGCACCCTATAGCAAAAACCTCTCCATGGGGTCCAGCAGGTGGCGTGGTGTTTGAGGCGCTGAATACTCCCACATGGCCAACCAGGGTTCAAGTCCTAAATCTGGTGGCTTGCTTTCTCACTTCCTCTCTCTCTCACCCTCTGTCTCTCTCTGGTCAAATTAAAATATAAATGAATGAATAAATAAAATAAATAATTATTAAAAAAAAAAAAACTCTCCAAAAAAGGAAAGAAAAAAAAGAGAATGTTTTGACTATCCAGTCTCTTTTGCATTTCCATAAGCATTTTAGGGTCAACCTGACAATTTTTAGTAAAAAAAAAAAAAAGAAAAGAAAGAAAGGTTTTTGCCATTGGGTGTGTGCTCTTGCTAGAGACAGAGAGAGGGAAAGTGAGAAATAACCCCCCGGGGGGATGGCCATGATGTGCAATCCCTTCTCCTCCATTCTCTTATTGAGATTTCAGGTGAAAGGAAGGAAAGAAAAAAAGAAAAAGCCAGCAGATATTTTGATAGATTGCATTGAACATCTAGATAAAATTTTTTTTTGGAGAGGTTTTTTTTTTTTTATTTCAATTTATTTATTTGCATTCATTCACTGTACATCATTACAACAAGAGAGGTTTTTGTTATAGGGTGTGTGCGCGCGCCAGAAAGACAGAGACAGAGACAAAAAGTGAGAAATGGTTCTGGGATTCGAACCACGGTTGACTACATGGGAGTCCAGCGACATAGTCATTACGCTAACTGCTGGTCCCCTTTTTCTTTTTTTTTTTTTGAGGAAGGATGCCGTCAGCCTTCCTTTTTTTTGGGAGAGATTTTTGCTATAGGGCATGTGCGCTCGCCAGACAGAGAAACAGAGAGACAGAAAGCGAGAAATCACCCCCCAGGGGGGATGGTCACGCCGCAGTCCCTTCTCCTCCATTCTCCTCTCAGGATCTTGGGCACGCACGCACACGTGCCCGGCGTGAGTTTTAAGCCACCAGGTCTGGGACGCGAACCGCAGTCGACTACGTGGGAGTCCAGCGACATAGCCATTACGCTAACTGCTGGTTCCCTACATACTGATTTTTCAAGCAGCCATGTCCAGGCCTCAAACCATGGTCCACCACATGCGCCATGGTCCAGCACCTTAACCACCATGCCTCCTGCTGGCCCCTCACCTTGAACATTTTAAATGCCATAGGAACACAGAAATCACCTTGTTTCTGACTCTGGGTTAAATCTGTTATCCTCTCCCTTCCTAGCACTACCTGGTAAGGGCCACGTATTTTCCATCTTCCTTTCTGTAGTGTCTGCCCCTCCATTCCTTCTTGCAAGATTGCAGTGAGAACGAGGGCTGTCTGTAGTCAGAGACTGAACTTGAATTTATTGCTTGGAAATGGAACAGGGTTGTAGAATTTCCCTTTTGGGAGCTCGTCTCAGACCTGGGCCTCCGGTCCCGGGGAAGAAGGGCAGTCTTTCTGTAATGGGCTTCACCATGTCCTGTGGTCCTGTCTCTGCAGAGGGCAGCTGCAGCTGCTTCCTGGCAGTCTGGTTCTTTGCTCCTCTGGGCTGAGTTCCACCTCACCTCTCTCCACCTTTTCCCATCAGCAAAGATTCCGCTCCACACTGTCCTTTCCAGAAACTTTCTCAAAGTGCCATCAGTTAGGGTGTCCCCCTACCTCCTCTGGCATTCCT